TCCCTTGCCTGCCCCACCCCCACCAGGCCGAGGGAGAGCTGCGGGCTCCACATGCAGCCAAACCCTGGCGCTGCTCTGCGGGGGAGGGACTCTGGCTGCTAGAGGCCCTAGTGGCTGCGAGCGGCTTTCAATCAGGCCAGGCGTCCAATCAGCCGTGCTGCACTCTGCATGAGGGGAAGGGGGAAATCCCAGACATTTCTATTTTATTAGACACTTCCCCCCCCCCCCCCGACCGACCATTTAAAAAGCTTAAAAACCCAGACATGCCCGGGGAAACCCGGATGGATGGTAACCCTAGGTTCTGTGGGAGGTGCTGGGCAGTTGTGGATGGGTCTGGGGGTGGCGCTGGGCATAGTGAGTCTGGGGGGGGCCTCTGGCCATAAGGAGTCAGGAAGTGTTGGGTGGGGGTACTGTGTGGTGTGGCATAGGCCCACTCCCGAGGGGAAGGGACATGCTGGCACCACAGGGCTGGGCAGGCCAGGCCACTGTGCGTCTGGCAACTGCCAGTTCGTAAATAGTGCCCTCGCATTGGGCGGAGCGGGGCCGCCCCTGCCATGCCAGGCCCCATTGCCTCTGGCTGGTCCCTCGCTCCGGGGACTGACCTCCCCTCGCCATGCTCCATTGCCTTCAGGGGGGCCCCACAAATATGTTTGGCGCTGGGCCCAGAAAAGGTTAATCCGGCCCTGGCGCGGGAGGGTTAAGGTGGGGGCTCCGACCCAGACATCCACCAATGGAGCGAGGGCAGCTCCCCAGGGGCAGAAGCAGAGCCCCGTGAATCACGACGGCTTGGCTTGGCGGTGGCGACACAAACGCGTTCTTCAGGCCTAGCTCAGGCAACCTGATGCTGCAAGGTGCTGAGCACCCTTATTGCCATTGCCATTAGCGGGAGCTGAGAGCTCTCGGCACGTTGTAGGGGGTATGCAGTAGTGTGCAGGGCTGGGCTCGGCTCAGACGGCCAGGTTTTAGGTGCTTTTGCAAATCCCACTAGGTGCCTCTTTGCATCATTAGGCACCTAAATACCTTTATAACCCCGGCCTTTAGTGCTACATGGTGCTGAGCACTGGGCTGATACGCGCTCCAAGGGAAAACACAGCTGAAAACTGGCTTCAGGTGGAAACAGGAGCTCTATGGGGTTTCAACGGGAGACACCCCAGATTCCCTCCAAACCAAGCCCTAGTTCACTCGAAAGGCCTGAGAGTCCCAGACAAGCTTTTCCATTTACCCCACTGAACTTAAACTCTGAAAGCAGGAGAACGTCCCCTTCCTACCACATTGTGTGTGAAATTCTCCCCTGTGCAGCACAAGGCTCGATCACAGCAATCTCACATGGCCCATGGGGGCCTCATGGGCCCTTTGCGCAGGGCAGGCAGGGAGAGTCCCTCTTGGCCATGAGCCTTTTGCACAGCAGGGATCAGAACAGTAACGTAGCTAGCGGGGTTCAGGGGAAGCAGCTGCTTCCCCTGACCACATTCCCCAAAAGTGGCGCCGGCGGAACGGGGCCGTGGGTTGGCCTGCTGACTCCCTCCCCCCGGCGCTCCGGGCAGCCGGCGGAACGGGGCTGCGGGCTCCTGGTGGTCCGGCCAGTGCAGCAGGTTCCCGGTGCTCCGGCCGGGACTCCGGCCCTGAGAACGTGGCCGGGGGTCTCAGTGCCTTGGACAGCGCTCTGGATGGGGAAGCGGGGTGGCCCTGCGCATGCGCCGCTCCATCTTTTGGCACATGCATAGGGCCACCGAAATGCCACCGAAGGACCGACGCCTTTTTTCTCCACCGCTCCTCCTCGGCTGCAACCCTGGCTATGCCACTGAATCAGAAGCTCCATTATTAGTAGCAGAGGAGTTCAATGGAACACTGGGGACCTGGGGCTCAGAACAAATGAGATCAGGCCTGTACTGACCAGCCTGTGAACAGACCCCTCTCCCCAGTCTTGCTCTTACCTTCTTTTTCTTTAGCTTCATCTTCGTGTTCTATTTTAAAAGCAGAAAGGACAATTCGATCACAGACGGGCCATGCAGGCAGACACATTCCCTAATGAATGCCCTGAGGAATTCCTAGCATTCTTCACACAGGCTGGGTCTGCACAGCTGGCATGTTGGTATTGAATGATCACAGCTGAGACAGCTCTGGACAATTTTTACACAGTAAGGGGCAGATTCTGATATTAGTCATGCCGGTGTCGCTTGGGAATGGGCCTAATGAAATCTGCAGAGCCAAGCTGATGGGATGATTTAGTTGGTGTTGGTCCTGCTTTGAACAGGGGGTTGGACTAGATGATCTCCTGAGGTCCCTTCCAACCCCGATATCCTATTATCCTATGATCTATGATCCTGCTTACAGGCAAAATTCTTCTCTTGGATCTCAACTCCAATATCCTGCATATTCTAGACAAAGTTCTGCAAAGTACCGACAACCCCATGGAAGGAGCGCCTGGTGCCTTCATGATGGGAGCCGAGAGCACTCAGCACCTTGCAGGATCGGCCCCAGATCTACCTTTGGCATCAGCATTCTGGGAACTGCACCCCTGAGGGAGAGCGACCCCTTTGCGGAGCTGGGAGGAGGCATGGGTCCTTCGTCCAGCTATAGCTTGAGTTAATGACCTGCAATCTTAAGCATCCCTGAGTTTTTGTAGCTCAGCTGTGCAATCCAACCCAGGGATTAGGCAGCCCAATGAAATGCATGAACAGGCCAGAGCAAGCTGGGCAGAGGGTGATCTCTCCTAGAGGTTCAACCACCTACCTTCTGCTGGGGTTTCCACAGCCTCTTCTATCTCCTCTATGTGCTCTTCTTGGTCTGTGGAACAACATGCAAGGTGAGGGGAGCAACTCAGGCTGGCTGGCTGATAAAAGTACATGTCACCATGAGCCAGCCACAGGGGTATCCGAGGGGGAAAGGCAATGTGGCCATGGAATGGAGACAAGTAATGGTTTGGTTTGCATAAAATGGGAATTCACCTGAACCTTCACCCCAAACTCAACTGACCTTGATTATTATTGATGCTTTGAGGGGGGGAATTCCCCCCTCATTTCCACGTGACTGCCCTGCCGTGTTCCCAGCATGACTAGAAGGGGAAGGGGCCAAATGCCATCAGAGGCTGCTCTCATGGTATTTCCAAGGGTCTGGCAGTGCCACATGGGGACATCCAAGTCAAGGTCCATCACTCTCCATGGCAACAAGGGACGCAACATGCTTAGTCCCGGTGAGGGGCAGTGATGGGGTGATTTTCATTGTTCTCTTGAATCACCTCAGGCAACAGAAGTGGCCCTGGTGGGTGCCCGAGGGAACTGCCTTTAGTTATTCCCCCTCTTATCCTATCACATGCTCTATTGATACCACTGGCGTATCCAAGCGCCTCCTTCCACCAGAGGGAGCGTTGTTACAAACAGAGTCCTCTGTGGGAGAGAGAGAGAGGAGAAGCTGGTAGGCGACTGGGGCTCTAAAGGGATTTAAAGGACTGGCGCTACCTGGAGGAGAGAAAGAGGAATAAAAGGAAGGAACCAAACAATGTGCGAGTTTGGCGAATGAAAGAGAGTTAGGAATGCAAGGATGCAGCATGGATTCAGATATGATCTTAGGGCAGAAACGGGGAGTGGGGCGGAAGATACAACAAGCAACACCAAGAGGCAATGGGAATAAGAAAGAGGTCACACTCCATCCCATAGATAGATAGAGCATGTACAACAGATCACAGACATTGCATATGCAGAATGTTGGCAAGCAGTGGGGAAGGGAAAGAAGAAGAAATATTTTACTACCATCTTCCTCCTCTATCCATTCTTCTTCTTCTTCTTCAAGGTGGAAAGTGGCAACAGTGAAAGGAATAAGCGGAAAAGGTTAGTCAGGTATCATAAAGCTGTGGCATCTAGAGCGTCCGCTGGTATTTTATTGATCTCTACTTTCCCATCTATGTCCTACAGCTTTCCTGGTGTTTACCAGAGTCTGCTGTGCAGGTGTTGCCCAGGCGTTAATAAAGCTGTAGAATATTAAGGCTTTTCTTCACCAATATCCAGCAGACATTACAAATATTCTCACTCACACACGAGGGAAGGCTGCAAAGCTGTTAGCTGCATAACTCTTCAGCTTCCAGTCCTCATACTGAAAACGCAGCAAGCTCAGGCTGAACTGTCACTCACACAAGTCAGTTGAGATGCCAGCTTCCATTCAATTATCACATTCTCATCGCAGACAGGCCGGAGCTGCGAACGTTTTCAATCCTGAATTCTCCCCGTGCTCAGCTCTGAGGATTTAGTTGAGGCCAGTCTCCAATTATCCTTGCTAATGAAGCAAATGCCAAATAAACTCTTAGGATGAAATTCACCCCTGTGCAGAGGACTGGAATGAGGCCTACGTGCTTCTGAAGTCGCACATTCGCCCTGTGGGTTGTGTGAGTCCCTTGGACGGGGTGAATTTCACCCTAATTGAACATCAGCTGAAGCAAAATTTGTTTAAAAATTGGAAGGAACATTCCCAGGACCTTTTTATAGAGTATTTGCACGGCTCTGCCCACCTGCAGCCATGCCAAGCCAAACCATTTCAAGCAAAAAAGGAAACAAAGTAGCTTAATAAGCCAGTAGCAACTACCTCGTGCCCTCCTGCCCCTTCCACACAACAGGGAAAAACCTACCTTCTTCAATACACTCCTCTGCAGGAAGGGGGAAGAGAAAGGGAGGGAGAGAGATTGAGCAGGTTATTGAGGTTATACGGATCGTCTTAACGCTTCAGTCTGTCCTGATGTGCAGAAAGAGGCTTCTCTTCCTCTTACCTTCCTGTTCCCTGCAAAGCCAAAGGAGAAACCGTTGGGTTAGAGCATTGGTTGCAGAGCAGCACATTTCTCCCAGGGGCTGGTCCCGGGAAGGGGGGAGGGGCTGATCAGAATTTTTCCACGAGTTGTATTTTCATTGAAAAATGCTGATTTGTCAAAACAAACTGTTCTCAAAACAGCATCCATTTCAGCATCTCCAGACTCAGGGGGCTGGGGGGGAGGAAAGTGTGTGTGTGTTGATATTCACTAAAGGAAAAATTCTGGTTCAAAATAAATGTTCATTTAAAAATATTAGCTAATTAGACTGAAAAAAAAAGTCTAAAATTCTGACAAAATGGTTCAAAACTCAGACATTTTGATTGATCTGAATTTTTTGGTGTTTTTGACTCACGAAGATTTGCGATTTTTTATTTTTCATCCCAATTCGGAATTGGGTGAGTTTTTGGACTCTAAAAAATATTTGCAGGATGGGACAGCCCGTTTCCAATGCAGCTTTATCGGGGGGGAGTTCAGAGAGCCCTCCATGGCTAGTTTACACTACTTTGTGTTATGCATTTCTACAAGCTGTGTTTTGTCCCCCTCATTACATGACAGCAGAGATGGGACCATGCTGGAAGGTTTTTGTCTGGATCTGGGTCCCAACTTTCCTGAAGTCTGGAGGTGTTTGGATCTCGGGGCTTGGGTCATCCCCACCAGTGGAGTCAGAGGGTTGGTAAAGAGAAACAAAACAAACAAACAAAAACCCAAAAAAACACTTAATCACGGTTCTCATTTATGGGAATGGAGGATGGTTTTATGGCCTACAATTCTGAGATTTACTGATGAAAAGTGCTGTCTAAAGAACTAGCGGGCTGGGCATTGTCGTTACTACTAATAAAACGTGAACCATTCCCACAGCTCCAGACAGGGCTGGGTAATAATGAGAATGGATGACTCTCTATGGGACTTGATGCAGCTGCACCAGAATTGCAATGGCAGCCACAGAGCGAGCTGCCTGCTGTACCTCTGCATGAAGAGGACTGGCAGTGGGAGGGAAGATTTTAAAGCACAGCACTTACTCTTCATATTCTTCGATGATGTCTTCAACGTCCGACATTTTCAGTTAGCTAGCAGGAAAAATCAAATTAGAGAGAGTGTTAAAAGCTACAACAACCACCACAGCAGCGCAGTCAGTCCTTCATTCTTTGACATATGGGAACAGGATTTCTGTGTCCATCTGGGATGAACTCCGGGCAGCCCCATGGCCCACAATTTCCCACATGGCCACTGATTCTGGGTGCCCAACTTGAGACACGTTTGGACTGATTGTCAGCCATGCTGAGCACCCTCTAACAGCTGTACTCTCCACCTCTGAAAATCAGGCTGAGGAGAGGGCATCCAGAAATCCAGGCACCCAAAATCAGGGGCCACGTCTGAAAATTCAGTTGCTTTGTGAGATATTTACAGCAACTCACGGACAGCCAGAGAAACCTGAACGATCTGACCCAAGTATTTGTTTAGACTAGGAATTTTCATTTTGATTTACTTGTGTCTTGCGTCACACTCCCATCACCTCCTCCCCTTTCCTCTGAGCAGCAGGCAGATGAGGCCCTGCACAAAGAGCTCATTGCATACAGATCCATCCCCTCCTCAGATTCCCCACACCTGGTGCGGACGGGTGCCCTAGAAAGGCATGGAGACGCTAAAGTATCGAGCTGGAGCTGGATTAGATGTCACGCGATGCAGCTCATTTGTGGGTGTGAATAAATCCCTTTGTCTCCCTGGCTTTTATATTAAAACTCATTTGTCATTTGGGAATTTTTTGCTTTTCCACTCACACCGTGAGCTAGATGCTGAGCTGCAGCGTAGCGGTGGGAGGGCACAATGGTTGCATTAAGCCACATCTTTCCTTCCCCAATCCTAGGGGCACCTGGGGCTGTTCTGGCCACCCAGGATCCCTGGGGCACCACTTTCTCCCAGCCATGCCTTCTGAGCTGGGGGCTAGCAGCAGAATGGCTAAGGAGCCACCTGAAGATCCCCTCTACGTACCTACTGCAGTTACACAGGGAGAATCCTTCCTTCTGTGGCCAGTGACGCTGGGTCTGGGGCAGCTTTGAATGACTCAGCTGCATTAAGACTCAGCAGGGCCATGGCAGCCAAAGCAAAATGGCCACTTGTGTCCTGGCAGGAAGTCCTAGGGAGACACTGCGGAGTCAGGGGGATGCCACTTCTGAGCCAATGGAAACCCTTTCCAGGACTCATCTTTTGTGGGTGGCCAGACCTTCATTTGTAAATTCCCTGTCGCTGCAGTGTCAGTGAAGCAGGGATGGTAATTTGGCTGAGAGGGAATAGCTCATTCCTGAGAGGATCTGTGCTTGTCACAAACAGGTAGGAATGTCTATAATTATCTCACAAAGAAAGGGGAAATTAACCACCCCCGCGCTGAGCCAGCATCTAATAATGGCGTCTTGGCTGAGATAACCCTTCCTGAGCCCCCCTGTTTCTCCCCCCATGGCTCAGCAACATAGTTCTCCTTAAATAGGAAGCAAGAGCTTAGGAACATCATCAGTCAGCACTGATAACTCTGAGCTCCCAGCCCAGCCCAGGGTACATTGCAACCTCTCCGCCCAGAGATGATCTAAGAGAGAGTTATGTTGAGTGGGAAGTGCAGAGGAGGAGAATAAACCCAGGAAACAGCCTATTTTGCTCCTCAGTTGTTCTTAGCATTAAGGGCTGGTCTCTCACACCTAGCCACCATTTTTCCTTTTGTGCATTGGACACATGCCATGAGACTGGCTTTTCTTCAGAGAAATCAGCCACTTTCCCCTGGCCACTCAGGAAGGCAGAGAGGCTAACACTGTAACTCTTGCCTTGAATCTCAGAGCTGCGTGTTATTAGCTCCTCTGACATGTCGTTTATCCTGGGTCCCAATCCCTTCTCTGGGGCCTAGTAAGATTCACCAGCAACTCAAGTGTCCTGTAATCTTAAACCCACCACCATGCAAAGAAAATGATGTGAAACCTCATTACTAACTCGCTTGCTAGCTTTCCAAACGCTGCCAGCCTCCAGCAGCCCTGTCAAGGAGAGGAAGGTCTCTGCACTCAGTACTGTCTGCGCTCGGCCATCCCAGCAAGTGGGTAGCACTGGGAACTGGAGTCAAGCCTCCTGGGTTCTATTCCTGGCTCTGCTGCTGACCTGCTACGTGACCCTGAGGAAGTCACTTAAGGGTACATCTACAGCGCAAAGAAAAACAGACAGCAGAGACTCTCAGAACCCAGGTCCATTGGCTTGAGCTGCAGGGCTAAAAATAGCCGGGTCAACTTTTGGGCTTGGACCCCAGCTCTGAGACCCTCTTCCTCTCACTGGTTTTCACAGCCTGAGCTCCAGCCAGAACAGGGACATCTACATTGCTCTTTTTAGCCCTGCAGCCCGAGCCCCAGTCAGTTGACCCTGGTTCCGAGCCTCACTTCTGTGGGTTTTACTTTGCAGTGTAAATGTACCCCTAGGCCATGATCCTCCAAGGTTTTTAGGCTCATAATTCCCATTGAAATCCATGGACCTTCTATGCCCCAATTTCCCCCTCTGTAAAATGGAGACAACACCCATCTTTGTAAGGTGCTTTCAGTTCTTCAGGTGAAAGGTCGGATACAAATCATTATTTCCATTGGAGTCCGATGTGTCTTAAGTGTCTCCTCAATTCTATCTACTCTCTCTGTATATGATCTAGGTACCATTGGATAGTGTCCAAAGTCAGCAAAGAAACGGCACAAGGAAACACCTAGGAAAAGGAGATGGGGAAGTGGCCTTACATCTGAAGTGGTCATGTTCAAACTGCTAACATAAGATTCACCAGCAAGGCTAACTCAGCAGTGATGCTAACAAAGCCTGTTAGGAAGGCAGCTTGAAATACGTTCTCAGCCATTATTTTATTGCCCGTTGATTACATTGAACACTACGGCTCTGTCTGTAGCATTCTGAACACGGACCTAGGAGGCTGGAAAGTTAGTGGGTTTCCAAATGTCCATTTGAACGCTTTTCACTCTGAGTTTCCTGTTCAAATAAATGTCAAAGTGAATCTCTGCTCGAGCCATCCCTTTTCAGTTTGGTTCCCACTGACGGGGTTGAGCAAGCCTTGCCTAAACACCATGCCCTGAGTCTTGTCTGACTCGCAGGCTTTCAGCTCACTGACACATTCCTGAACCCCAGAGAAACCTTCTGCCAACTCTGGCCAGAGGCTCAGTTTTGTCCCAGATCCCCACAATAGATGAAACTCTCCTACCAAAACCCAGGTTTCAGGCACATCTACGAATAACTCCCATGTGTCAAACCACCTGTTCAGCAAATCAGCTCTGCTGTACAATGGCCGCCTTTTCCAATGGCGTGTAACAGCTGGTCCCAGCTCCATCTTTTCAGTATTTATTACGCAGGCTGGCTATAAGAGGCTAACTTAAGGAACTTTGCTGCCTGAATCCAGAAACATTAGTGATAGGAAAGACCTACTACATCCTATAGTCCAGCACAGGATTGGTCTCAGGATAACAGTACATCTTCCAGGGCTTGGTTCATTCTAGCTTTAAGTGATAAGTCTTCCAGCATTTCCTTCGGAACTCAGTTTGATTGCCAATGCGGACAGCCTTGCTGTCACCTCAGTCCCTGTGCCACTATTACTATTTAGACTGTTCTATTAGAATGTGGAATAAGATTATGGATCTGACCACTAGGAAGTTTTTCCATGCTAAAAGTTCATTTTTTAAACTCCTTCCTTACTCCTAGTTCCCTCTTGAGCCACCATAATTCCTGACCCTTCCTGGTGCCCGTGTCCCTCGCATACTTCTAGGCAGCTCTCATGCCCTCATCATGTAGCCAAAGATACACCTAAACATTCATCAAGCCGTTTCACATGATCCTCTTTTGCAAAGTGCTGTGTCACATACAGAGTTAGGCAAAAATATGAATGTTTGTGAATAAATTTAAGTGACCTCTCTCCAGCTTCATTCACTTCCCACAAGAGCCCAGCAAACCATGTTAGCCAAGACTGCAATATTTAAGTAGCTATTGACAAATATTTGAGGAAAGCAAATTTTTGAATATTTGTGCCAGAAACTTGATTTCAAGAGTTATCTACATCCAGACAGTGCCCAGAAACACCATGCACTCTGCACCTCCAGCAAAGATAGCTCAAATTGTCAGTATCAAACCGTGAATGAGCAACACACTGGTAAGTATGTTTGCACAGAATTTTTAATTAACTGATTTTGAGCTACAAAAAAAAAAAAAATATCCAGGAAAATATGGACAGTTCACAAGCAGCTAAATAAATTATTTGCTGCAAATAATCCCCCAGTTTTAGTTGTGGATTAAATGGTCCAAACAACCTTTTTCTAAAATATCCACTCTAGGAATTATTTGGGGGGAAGTTCTCTGGTCTGTGTTAGACAGGAAGTCAGACTAGATGATCACAATGGTCCCTTCTGGCTTTGGAATCTATGAATCCTTCTTGATTTTTGTCTTTTAACATGCCTCAGACATGCCTGTTAACACTGATCTAGTGCAAGGTAGGTTAGAACTATATTATCTAAGTACCAAATCACTGTTTTACTTCAAGTGCTAGAAATGAAGGGCTAGGTGTATTTCCAAATGTTCAGTTCTGCAATATTTATACAAAGAACAATGCAAAAATCAATAGCCACTATGTAGTTTCATTTGCCACTTGTAGTGATGCATTCTGAACTCGGTAGCACAAACATCCTGTGCCCGTACTGTGCTTTCTATCTGCCAATGAGGGACTCGGTAACATAACAGTCTCTTAGGTTTCTATAGCACTTCTCACCTCCCAAAGCAATTTACATACACGATGGGTGGAAGTTCCTTATTACTCACCCCAGCGTAAATCAGGAGTAACCCTGCTGGGCCTGATTCCCCCTCTTTGCCCATCCCAGTGTAAACCAGGAGTAACTCCATTAAAGTTAATGGAGCTGTGCCAGTGAAAAACTGGTGCAAGGAGACTCATGCTATACGCAGAGGAATCCCTTCACCAGAGAAATGTGGTCATCTCTGGGGTGGATGATGACAACTGGGAGGGGCCAATTTTGGCCAAGGAGGTTGAGGCAGACCTGTTCTGTCTCTGGAGCATTAATACCTAGGTCTAGCAAACAGGCAGGTGGTCACTCGGTCCCATCTGAAAAGGAAGCCAACTCCATGAAAGTCCCTAAGCCTGGCAAGCTGTGCCCCAAGGCTGTTGCCTTACCTCTCGCCCAGGGAAAAGGTGCGGTCCCTCGCAGCCAAGTGGAAGCTGGCAGTGTCTGAGAAATGCAGCTGGGAAGAGTGAGGCTTTAACAGGGCTCCGAAGCCCACCCCCAGGCCAGACGCCTGATTGGAGGAATGCGAGTGTGGCAGGGTTTGGAATGCGAACACTTGCTTGCTATTTCGGCAGCGTGGGTCACAGCCCCTTGTTCAACTCTTCTCCCCCTCCCATGAGCCCATATAAGCCCAAGCTGTTGTATGGCCTCAGAATTGCTATTTTAAACCTGCAGGGCTGAGATAGACAAGTCCCCAAGGGGCTGACACAAGCCAGCCAGCTGTCACTTTCAAGTGGCCAGAACTCTGATAAGCAAAATGCTCTTGCCTGGAGGGGGCCTGGGTTTCAGACATCGGATGCTCACCTCCAAACCCCAGCTTGTGGCTAGTCCCATGCTGCTTCCTTTCCCCACAACACCCCGTATCCTCTGTGCTAGGCCCAGAAAGCCCCAGGGCCAGTCAAGGGTTTGAGTCATGTAAGCACCAGCAAGCCTGGATGTTCAGCCAAATCCCATAGGGCTGCCTGGAGATCAGAGCCAGCTTTCTCAGGAGACAAGTCCTCACCTCCAGCTGGACCCAAACTACCACCACAACTAGCTCTCTCAGAGCCACTGAATTCCTGGCCCATTACAGCAACCAGAATGCTGCTGCTGTCAAACTTGAAGCTCTCAAGCTGGAAAATACCCACAGGACTTCATTGCTCCCACAGCCCTCAAAGCATGGAGTGGCCACATGCAGGTCTACATGTGCCCTATGGCTGAGGGTCCCACATCAAGCCCCAACCAACCCCCATCCCGCTCTCCAGAGGCCAGCAGCTCATCTGCCTCATTGTCCAGAGCGATTCACAGCAAGCGCCCCCCCCAAGAACAGTCTGAGACCAGAAGCATCTTAAAGAAAGCGCCATTTATTAGGGAAAAGCTATATCAAAAGCAGCAGGTTCCTTCCAAAGCCAGCGGGGTGAGAGCGGATCCAGGGGGAGCTCGGGGAAGCCCAGACAAGCACAGAGGCTCAAGCTAAAAAAAAACCCCCAGCCTAGGGCTCGCTAAAGCAGCTCTCAGCCTTTCTGCACTAAGGTGCTTGCTCCTTGGGCTGAGGCGTTTGGACACTACCATTGTAGGAGCTCTCCGCTGTGCTCCCTCCCCAGTGTCCTAAAGCTGCCCCTGCCCCTCCCCAGCTTAAGAGAGGGCAGTGCTCCTGGGAAAGGCTCCCACTAGGGGTGAGTTCCAGGCCGCAACTGGGGAGCGCAGGGGCACGTCACATTAAGAGCAGCTTTACAGTTCCATACAACGAAGGCAAGGATAAGAACGGGCAGGCTCCTGCGAGTGTGGGTGAGCAGGGTCTGGGACTTCCCGGCAGCCTTCCCAGGTGCAGATGGGCCTCTAAGCTGAGAGCCCCTGCACTAAGGACCAGAATTGCCAAGGGGGCCTCCCTTGCTAAATGGGAGAGGGGTCCTGGCGGGGGGGGGGGGGGGGGG